GAGGAATCGTTCATGTTGCATTGCTCTACTTTTCTCGGTAATCACTTATGACGTCATCAGGGTATCGTCTATCCTTGATCACGGTGTCCAGTGAACATATTTTCGATGACGCGCTAAAGATGCGCTAGAGTTGAGATATTAGATTTATTATGCGAAGATAATCTGATAACATTTTTTTATTCATGTAGCTAATTATAGTTTTATGTTTCTAACCTTTAATTTTATTCAAATATCAATAATAATAGAAAAAAAAAAACACCATTGAGCTGAATTTTGGATAGTTTTCAAGAAATATATGCCTCCCGCGTTTGACACTAGCGGTCAACCATAGACGACTTTGGCGTGCTGGACATAGTATTTGCTTAGATAAAAATCCATTTTTATTAGTTCAATGTTTCTTAGTACTTGTGACTCTAGAAGACTTGTTTTTTATACTCACATGTTGCTGGGTTATTCCTATTTTGAGGAGTGTAGAATTAAAATACCTGTAATAATTTTCCAATATCTATATTTCATATTTTTCGGAGCCGGGTTTTTTGTCAACTATAGACGTCGTTGGCGCTCAGGGCCCGCAGGTGTTGGTCAAGTATAGGCGACTTTGGCGCTCAAAAGGTTAAAGGATTCATGGTAAATCAGCTGGAAATTAACTTGTTTCGTTATCATAACATGATTCTATTTTAAATGTATTGTTATAAACAGATAAGAATAACTTAATCGATCTTCTTTAAAAACAGATAAGAATAACAGTTCTTATCTGTTTTCAAAGAAGATCGGTTAAGATTAACAGTTAAATTGTGCCGTAGCGTTTGTTATTCTCTAAAGAATTCATTGGAAATCAGCTAGTAATTCGTTGTTTAATTATCGTAACATCATAATTATTTAAAAATTATATTAGCACTGTAATGATGACACCGTAAATAATCGATCGAAAAAGAGAATCGATTTTTTAAATGTGTTTTGTGATTGGCAACACTTTTTTTTTATTCACAAACTAATGACATAATGATTTACCTAATTTTTATTATTATGTTTCCGGTACTTTTAATTTGTGCAAAAATATTCCCATTGTTTGAGGATAAATGAATACCGCGATTAATAACCATAAATAAAGATATAATTTTTTAACAAATGCACATTGTTGGGCGTTCCATGGCCGAAAATGGGCGTCCCCCTTTGTAAGTTTTATGTCCTTTAGCCCTGACACCGAACAGAAGAATAAAAATAGTTTTAAATGGGTTGTTGAATCAGGTAGTTCATTTCATCTTGTAAATGACATTAGTTATTCTTTAATTATTTTAAACTGGATAAGCCAATTAAAATTTCAGCTGCCAAAAATGGCGTTGATTTAGAGGCTGTTGGTGTAGGAACAATAAAATGTTATTTAAGTGATTTTAAAGTTGATATTATATTAAATGATGTGTATTATGTACCACAATTAAGAAAAAATTTATTATCTGTTTCCAAAATGGAAAAGCATGGTTTAAAGATCATCTTCAATAAAGGGGAAGTTAAAGTTTTCTCACAAACCAATGAATTGCTTATGGTTGGGCATAGACTAGGGTCCCTTTATTTTGTAGAATTTAAAGTAATATTTAATGATTGTTATTATGGTGCAAAATCAGACAACAATGATAATTCAGTAGAAATTTGGCACAAACGATTTTCACTCTTAAGCTATAGTAGTTTGAAAACTTTAGTAAATAAAAATATGGTTGATGGTTTAACTGATTTGAAAGAAAAAAATTTAGAAAATAGGCATTGTGAACCATGCATACTTGCTAAGATTACACGCCTTCCTTTTAATGGGAAAATGTATAAGGCTAGGAAACCCTTAGAACTAGTACATACCGATGTTTGTTCTGTTAGCCCTTCTACGTGGGACGGGTATAAACACTTTGTTACTTTCATAGACGATTTTACCCACTTCACCACAGTTTACTTATTAAGAGACAAGTCTGAGGTTTTTGAATATTTTAAGACTTATTATAATTATGCTAGTAATCATTTTGGTCATGGTATATTAAAGTTAAAATCAGATAATGGTGGTGAGTATATTTCTAGAAATTTTAAATCCTTTTGTGATGAAAAAGGCATAGTATTGCAGTATACTGCTGCATATAATCCCAAAATGAACGGAGTACTCTGACTGAAAAGGCGCGTGCATTATTGTTAGAATCACAGCTTCCTAAAGAGCTTTGGGGCGAGGCCCTGCGATATGCGGTATATGTCACTAATCGTAGTCCCACTGCTTCCCTTAATGTTACACCATTTGAAATGTGGAAGGGAAGACCCTCGTGGTGTGAAATTGAAAATGGTTGGGTATGCTCCGGGGGGATACAGATTATGGGATGCTAATGAAAGGAGGATACGCATAGAACGAAACGTATTGTTTAGGGAAGAAACATGTTCAGAGTCCCCTGAAACGATTAGTATTGACGTGGAGTCTATCTCGGATGGGAAGGAGAAGGATGGTGGTAGTATTCCTGAGAAAACCAAAACCCCTTTAATTTCTGATAAAACCCAAACCCATGGTACTGTGAAAATTTTAACTTCTGATAATAATTTAGAGTCATTACAACCTGAGGGAAGGGATACAGATAATGTTAATTCTAGGGAGAAAAGAAAGAAAACTAAACCAAAATATTTACAAGATTTTGTCACTGATGATTCAGATTTAGGTGATATATTAATGGCATCATTTTTATCTTGTTCTAATGGTAATGTCCCAGAAAAATATAATGATATAGATTCTTATGACGATAAAGATAGGTGGTATGAAGCGGTAAATGAAGAAATTAAATCTTTAGAGCATAACAAGTCTTGGGAAGTTGTAGAAAGACCAAACGATGCTAAGGTAATTGATTGTAGATGGATTTTTACAAAAAAGGCGGGTAATGTATATAAAGCTAGATTAGTTGCAAGGGGGTTTCAACAGGAAGGTAGTTTTACCGAAATTTATTCTCCCGTTTTGAAATTACAAACTCTCCGAGTTTTTTTATCATTAGCTGTTCAAAGGAACTATTTAATTCATCAAATGGATGTTAAAGGTGCTTTCCTTCATGGTGAAATTGATGATGTTGTATATTTAAAGCCCCCACCTGGTGTAAATATAAATACAAATTATGTCTTGAAATTAAAAAAATCACTTTACGGTCTTAAAAAATCTTCAAAAAATTGGTACAATAAATTTTATGATTTTATGAAAGGTAAAGGGTTTCAAAGAGCAGAAAGTGATTATTGTTTATATTTTAAGGATGGTATTTACATTTTGTTGTATGTGGATGATTTATTAATTTTAGGTGAGGACAATTCAAGGATAAATAATGTTGAAGAAATTTTAAGCACAGAATTTAAAATGAAAGATCTAGGATCTAAAAATTTAAAATATCTGGGTATTAATATTATTCAAGATAGTGACTGTTTGTATATTAACCAGAAAGAGTATTTAAAATATATATTGACAACGTTTGGTATGTCTGAAGCAAATGCTAGTGAATCACCCATGTAAGTTAATGTTAATCTTGATGATTGTACGGTTGATTACTTTTTAAGAGCATAAATGCAGAGCTTGTATAGGTTCTTTAACTTATGCTGTAGTAGGTTCAAGACCTGATTTGTGTGCTGCTGTTTCATATTTAGCAAGATATCAATCTAGACCATAAGAAAGGTTATGACAATGCTTGAAAAGGATTTTAAGATACATTAAGGGTAACATTAATTATAATTTAAAATATAATAAGAATTGTAATTCCGAACCACTAGTTGGATATGCTGATGCTAGTTTTGCTGTAGATAAAGATAGGAAATCTATAACTGGTTATGTATTTAAAGTATTTGATAACAGTGTTATTTGGCGTTGCAAAAAGCAGAGCACTGTAGCTTTAAGCACTACTGAGGCAGTTATACTCCCTCAATGAAGCCGCTCTGGAGGCTTGTTGGATTAGGAAATTATTAAATGAGTTAGACGTTAGTTGTAATACCACTACCATATATGAAGACAATGAAAGTACAATATTTTCTGTATGTAATCCTGATCAAAAAAGAATGAAACATGTGGACATAAAATACAACTTTATTAAACATAAAATAGAATGTAAGGAAATTTGTGTTATGTATATACCTACAAAGCAACAATAGCTGATATTTTTACGAAACCATTAAATAAACCTCTCATAATTATTTTGTATATAAATTAGGATTGGAATAGAGTTTAGTTCGCATTGTGTATTTTTAGTTTGTTAGTTTTGTTAATACAAATCATTGTATTGTTAGTTCTTACTTATTCATTGTAATGTTTGAAATTATTGTAATGTTAGTTCTGTTAATATAAATCATTGGGGGGAGGTGTTAATTAACAATGATTTATATAATATTGTATTTTAATGGCAACACTGCGTCGGTTGTCAACACTGTGTCTGTGGTTATGAAGGAAGATTCAATATGATGTTATAGGCTCTCCATGTTGTTGTTTTGAGGTTAATAAAAAGCACGTTTTATGTTCAAAGTATTATATCTTTAATTATCCCCATAATCCTTAACCCTCTATTGCATACAAAGCCAATTTTGGCTGCTCAACTTTAGTAATTTATTTCTACCCTAATTTTAAACAAAATTATAAAATGTCAATGTAGTAATATTAAGGAATTCAAACTGAACCGAAACGTAATTTTTATTATCTATGGCCAACGTCATGTGTCATTCATTATAACCTCACTTTTCTCCGGTGCGTACGCGACGTCGTTCTTAGTGAATTTATTGCAGCTTTGTTGGTGGAAATTAAATAGAAAAGGTAAGAAAATTGATGTTAAAAAATGTAAATAATGTTCTGCAAAACCTCTGTTTTTGACCCCTATCACAGTTTATTCAAAATATTTGCTCCTTATACTTCATTTTCAATATTTTCTACAGGAGCCAATTTTGGCTTCGCATGCATTTACGATGAAGTATGTTTGCGCCTAAAATGGCTTCGCATGCATTCAGAGTTTTTTTATCTTTCCAGAATGCTTCCTTCACGCTTTTATGGCACTGCTAACTGCATTAAACCTATTCCTGGTGATGGCTCTCTTAGCAACGATGATTCACTATCTGATTCCGATGACGATGTTCCGCTTTCGCGCTTGCGCAACCAAACACGTAAAAAACCTATAATTATTCTACCATCCGATTCCGATACTTCCGATGACGAAATAGTTGATCCTAGACCTAAAAATTTGAAACAGAAGCGAGCAGTTAAGGAAAAAATTATCTGGACTGAAGGAAAAATGCCAGCGTATGATGAAAATAATTTCAATTTTAGTGGTAGCCTGGAATTGCCAGAGTTTGCTCAAGAATTAGAATCACCTGCCGAATTTTTCCAATTTTTTTTCACAGAAGATTTGATAACATTTATTACGGAACAGTCAAATCTGAAATCTACTCAGGTCAATGTTAACAAGCCAGCAAATATCACAACTACTGAGATTGAGCAATTTATAGGTATTGTCATCTTCACCTCATTAGTTCACATGCCATCTACACGGATGTATTGGTCCAACAACATTGGTCAGCATCAAGTCAATTCAATAATGACATGTAATAAGTTTGAAATGATAAAACGTCATCTTCATTTCAATAATAATGAAGATTTCAAACCACCCGGTACACAAAGTCACGATAAACTGTTTAAAATTCGACCTCTCATAGAAAAATTAAGAGAGCGGTTACTTTTGATACCCAAAGAAGAATATCTGGCCGTAGATGAGCAAATTATACCCACGAAAGCTCGCCACCAACTCAAACAGTACAATCCAGCCAAACCTCATAAGTGGGGGTACAAAAATCAAGTGTTGAGTGGCGTATCAGGGTTCAGTTACGACTTCGATATTTTTGCTGGCGATCAAAGCAACATTTTTCCAAGTGATGCACCAGATCTTGGTGTCAGCTCCAACGTTGTTACACGACTCACATCTACTGTGCCTCGAAATGTAAACCACAAAATATTTTTCGATAACTGGTTCAATAGTATAAAATTGCAAGTTTACCTGTATAAAAATGGATTGCTGCCATTGGGAATCATTAGGATGAACAGAGTACCTAACGCTGATATGCCTACAGAAAAGGACCTGAAGAAAATAGGTCGTGGTAATATGGTTGAGAAAATCGCCATCGTCGATGACGTAAAACTAAGGCTGGTATCATGGTATGACAATAAAGTGGATAATTTACTGTCTGCGTTTGTTGGTAGTGAACCGACTTCTACTAAGACTAGATATTTCAGAAAAGATAAACAGTACAAGGACATAACATCGCCACAATGCGTTGATGTGTATAACCGACACATGGGAGGCGTTGATTTGCTTGACTCTTTGTTAGGTCTGTATAGGATCAAAATAAGATCTCGTCAGTGGTATAAAAAAATATTTTTCCACTTGGTTGATATGTGTGCAGTTAATGCTTGGTTACTGTGGCGACGCAAGACTGACCAATACATCTCACTACTTGACTTCAAGCTAGCCATTTCTGAACATTATTGCAAGGCTGGCAAAAGTATCTCAAGAAAAAGAGGCCGTCCTAGTATCAGTAATCCCGGTACACCTACCTTGTCAAGAGGAAATACTCCTACGTCATCTAGAACGGGTACTCCTACCAGTAGAAATGAATCTTTCACACCTCGAAAAAGGGCACGGAAAACCCCAGCAAAAGTGCAAGACCTACCTCTAAATTCAGTACGTACAGACAAAATTGACCATTTCTCGATACACCAAAAGAATCGTCAATTATGTCAGAATGATTGTTCTTTGCGTTCTCATATAAAATGTGGGAAATGTGACGTTTTTCTTTGCTTGAATGAGAAAAGAAACTGTTTTAGAGAATTTCACCTTGTGTAAGTTTTGGTATTTGTTGTGCATAGGAAGCCAAAAATGGCAGTCTCATACACAGACGTTATTGCATGGGAAGCCAATTTTGGCTTCGGTTTTTTTTTTTAAAATAAGGTACTTATTTTTTTTTTCACTTTATGTTTTGTTTTACAAGCTCTATTAAAACACATTGAAACATAAAAATATTTTTTTTTCTTTTTAATTTAATAATTCATGCAATAGAGGGTTAACATTTATAATATATTTGGTTTACAACAGTCTCATTATAGTAGTTATAATGAGAACTTTGGAACAAAATAAAACAACATTCGTATTTATGACTGTTTTATTTATAATATCCTTAACAGTCAGTACCGTCTTCACACTAAGGGCATACGGGGCCCGTGCCCAAGGCGCCATCGTCACGGAGGCCCCCGTGTTAATGAGATATTGGAGTCCCAAAATAACGGGAATCAATAATAACGGGAATCAATTAGAATGCCTAGAATTGATTAGTAAATTTGATCCTTTTCTTGCTGATCATATACGAAACTGTGGAAATAGTGGAAAAGGAAGTACATCATATTTGTCTGCAAACATTTGCAATGAATTTATTATTTTAATGGGACAGCTTGTTAAGGAAATAAAATCAGGAAAATACTACTCTATAAGCATCGATTCTACGCCAGATCTCTCTGATATTGACCACCTAACCTTCATCGTTAGATACGTAAATGACTGAAAGCCTATTGAGAGATATATGCAGTTTTTGCCTATGGATAAACATTGTGCGGAATACATAGCAGATATCATTTTAAACTGTTTTAAAAGCTTTGATATTCCTATAAAAATTGTCGTGCCAGAGTTATGATAATGGGTCAAATATGGCTGGAAAGTATTCTGGTGTTTAGTAAAGTATAAAAGGAAAATGTGATTTTGCAATTTTTGTTCCATGTGCAGCACATTCGCTAAATTTTGTAGGTGTTCAGGCTGTAGAATGTGTTTACGAAGCTGTAGCATACTTTCAGTTTATCCAAAAATTGTAAAAATTTTTTCGGCTACGACCAAACTATAGGAAATTAATGCTTAGCAAAATGGTTATTTATTTTTTTCTGAGGCTCCGTCCTCAATTGCAAATTGAAAATAGTTCGTCTTTATCGATTGTAGATGGCGTTACTGTTGACAATACTACTTTGTTAAAAGTATACCTTTTTTTCATATTGCAAATAACGTCTTCTACATGCACAGTGAATTTTAGTTGTCTTCAATATTTTATAGAAAATTTCTGATTATTACAGAAATTTCATCAATGTAAGTATTATTTATTAGTCTACCATAATGACACGCGAACCACTCTAAACTCCTGAAGAAGTATATGAGACTATAAAAGATAAAAAATTTATGGATAATGGAAAATATTTCGAGAGAAACCATCGCATATGGACAGAAGCACGTGATTTGCTTCCGAAAATGATTGTGGACAACTTATGGGTTTATATTACAAACGATCGTGACGATGTCTCTTCTAAAATTCAATAAGTAAGAAATAAAAATAAAAGTTTGTAATATTTCCAACTGGTCGTCGAATGATAATAAACAAGATTTGGAAGAATTAAAGGAGACAATTCATTTGACACTAAAACAATGGAACGAACTAGGATTGAATTTAAAAATGTATTAAGATGGCCGAGAGTATGAAGTTTTTGAACCCGGTTTTGGATCCGTAAAACTTGAAAAATCTTCGAAGCATCAAACCTTTATTAAGAACGCCAAAACAAATCTTCTTTTTTTAAACAGTCTAAAAACAGTAAAATAGAGGACTTTGATTACCGCTGCTGAAGTTACTTTAAACCTTCCATGGTATCGAACATCGTCACAGTTATAATAGTAAAGACTGTGGAAAAAAATCGAACGCTGTCATATTTTCTGATTCGATGACTGCGAAAAAAGTATTATGCGGAAGAACAAAAGCAAGCAGTATTGGCGAAAATGTTTTAGGGCCGGCTAGTCAAGAATGCTTACTTAGTAATTCAAAAACTAGTCAATATTTTTCAATAGCGCGTGATTCGTCAAATAAAGTTAATCTGAAAATGTATACATTATTGATTAAATATTTTTCATTCGTGATCGAGATTCAAACCGGTTGGTTGTTGGACTTTTAAGAAGATTACTAAGAAAACAGAGAAGCAATAAAAGATCAAATAATACAAATTGTATCTAAAAATGGCCTTGAAGTGAGTCAAACCTCAGCATATTCTGGAGCTGATGATAAGTTGCTTAGATGCAGAAATTGAGTATCGAGAAAATGTTTGTAAATAGAACGTATTTGAAAAAAGTATAATTGTTTTTTTCAGTTCGTAAACTGCCATTAGTAAAATAAACGGGCTTTTTATCTCACCACACACACCAAACAAGACGTTGTTTTATTTCTATATTTTTATTATATTCAAAATTTATACAGACATATTAAGACATGTGCCAACTATTTGGTTCTCGTTACTTCCTGCCATAACAGAACCCAATCGCTGTCCAGTACCCCGCAAGAATTTCACGATCGAGTTCAAAGTTTACTTAGTACGATAATGACGTATGTCACCCTACACGAAACGATTAGTACGACCATCGAAGCTAAACGCGCACTTTACAAAAACTAACCTTGCAAGCTTATTTATGCAGACTAAAAGCCCCTTTAGGTTTTAGAATAAGATCTATGCGACCCGAAAGTATGTAAAAATCACTTGAATTTGTGCAGTAGGAGTTAAACACCCTCTGTCTCCAACAACGAAATGAAGGCGGTTAGAACAGGAAAGAATGGAGTCAACCTACCCCTAGCTCTATTCTACCATTAAATAATTCCCTTCCAAAACCTACTGCGTTTAACATAACGTTACTATCTAGACTACAGGGTAATAACACACTGAGTCCGTTCAGATAGCCACCTATGCAACCGCACTCTGCACAGTGTAGTGTGCAGAGTGCGGTTGCATAGGTTGCGTTTGCACAGTGGAGACCCTATCTACCACCCTAGCCCTAGATGCATCCACCACGTGCAACATATGATGCGTGCTGCACCAACCAAATTATAACCCCCAAAGTAATGTGTTTAAGCTACCTAACAGACCTCAGCATTGCAAGGTTTGGGTTTAAATATAACATAGGATTAAAACACATGGCGACGAGAAGTCCGAGATGCTTAAGAAAAAAATAGGACCAGACAATCTGATTCTGCATGGTGCTCTCTTATTTGGATTGTACCCAAAAAGGCGTACACTTCCGGCAAAGTAAAATGGTGTCTTGTTGTGGACTTCAGGAAGGTGAACGAAAAGACGGTCGATGACAAATAACCTATTTCTAATATAACCGATGCTAGATAAACTAGGCAAATGTCAGTATTTTATCATGCTCGATTCAGCCAGTAAGTTTTATCAAGAAGAGGCAATTGGCCTGAAAATAGTCCATCAACCTTCCAGAGCGGTGACAACGTATTAAAGAACCTACAGAACGAAATTTGTTTAGTGTATCTAGATAACATAATTGTATTCAGCACATCCTTACAAGAACATATGACTAATCTGGAAAAAGTATTTAAAAGGCTGCGGGAATCCAACTTAAAAACTCAGATACATAAATAAGAGTTCTTGAAACTAGAAACCTTGTTTCTAGGTCACATTATTTGTAAACACGGGGTCAAATCCAAACCAGACAAAACTAAAGCCATCGAAAAATATCCACTGCCGAAAACTACAACCGAAATTAAGTGTTTTCTCGATCTTATAGGATACTATAGAACATTTACTCAATGTTTCAAGAAGGAATCAAAGATAAGACTAAATCAAAATTAACTACAGTATATTCCCACTAATCGGTCACTATTATAAACCAGAGGGTGCCGGATTATTCCAATAATCCGGCACCCTCTGGTTTGCCAGTCTTCTGTTTGCTTGGGTGGCATACAAATATAAAATAATTTTTTAATAATAGCTTGACATGTCTCCCGAACTATTTTTTGTATTGTTGAAAATCTTCTTCTAAATCAAAAATGCGGGTCCATTAAGGAGCACCCAGTTGCCAAAAACCTGAAATATTTTTTGTTACAGTTTTTACATTGCAAAAGAGGTGGAAGGGTATCCGCGACGCATACGTCAAAGATAGGAACAAAAAAATCAGGAGTGGCTCCGGTGCATCTACTTCTAAAGAATACTTGTATTCACATTTGCTTTCATTTTTGAATACTACTACGCAGACTCGTCTTTCGAAAACCCCGCCACCAGCAGTATCAGATGATGAGAATACAATGAACATAGGCAATGATGATACAAGAAATGTTACAAAAAAGGGAGAAAAAATCTAATGATGCTGAGGATAAAATGATTATAAACTTATTGAAAAGGATGGAAGAGAGAATGAATAAAGACAAAAAAAGTGGTGAGTGTGAGCCCGAATATAACTTTGCGTTGTCTCTGGTTGAAGATTTAAAATCAATTCACCCAGACTATAAAATGAATGCCTAAATGGAGATCATGGGAGTTTTGAAAAAATATAAGCATATGTCAAACAGCTATCCTCCAAACTATTCAGGATATTTTACAAGCCCAGAGCCACCCCGAAGTAATTCATTGCAACCAATTAATTCTTCACCAAGTGTTTATGACGAGAACAGTAACGCTGAAGATACAATTTATAGTGATTTATTTTCAGAATAGTAATTTCCTAAATCTTGGTGAAGTATCTCCTTTAATTGTGAAAATAATTTAATCGCAACTGCAAAACTACCGTTATGTTGATTAGAGAGATTAACGAAAAATATTAAACAAGTATTAATAATTATCTCCTGTGTATTTAATGTTTAAAACATACCTTATAGTAATTATGAGCATTTCTTCAGGTGTGTCTTCATGTCTTAAGTCGGTTTGTATAAGATGCAACAACTCATAAAATGTAGGTCTTGACATTCGCAGGTAGGAACGAAATTTTTTAGGATTAGTTTTTATTCGTTTGTAAAACAACACAAAGTAGTCGCTCTCATCCAGTCGATTAATTGATAATGGATCCTTCAAACATCGTCGATGCTTTCGTTTGCGTCTCCTGCGTCTTCGAAGTAACATAACAACAGCAGTGTTTCCTCGTCGGAATCCATTTTGTTACTGAGTGTACTATATGTCGTAAAACCGCTGCGAACACGCGACGAAAACGTTGCGCGTCCGCGACGTATTCGCTGCGCATGCGCGGCGGACCTTTCGGACCATCAAGTTGAATTCGCATAAAGTTGAAATCTCAAAAAGTTTAATTTACCACAATGTCGTTTTTTCTCGATTTCGCAAAATGTTGAATTCTTATAAAGTTGAAATCCTTAAAGGTTGGATATCCCTATAAGTATGTTGACTATAAATAGCTTCCAGTTACGGGCTTTATCTACACACTCAAAACCTCTTTAGATACTAAAACCTCTCTAGATAACTAGTTTATGTTAAATGCTTGTCATAAACTTGACAATGTCATTTGTAAATAATCAGTTTATTCATGAAATTGTTTATGATAGGATACTCCAAATTTCTTTATTTGTAAATTTCTAAATGGCTCCCTATAAAACAGTGTCCTTTACAACAAATAAAAAGAAACAGAAACTTCTCGTAATAAGAGGTAAATACACATTAACCAAAGATGGTAAAACAAATCAGAACGGCACCTCCCGATGGAAGTGCACAAATCGGGACGTTTGTTCTGCAACTGTTACTTTAACCAAAGATGAATGTGACGTAAAACGTGAAACGAAACATACCTGCACACCGGATACTAATAAAATTAAAGTAACACGGCTTATAAACGACATTAAGAGAGAAGTGTGTATTAATTTATGTTCTATCGAGCAGATATATGAAGAAATGGTGCAACATTTCACCGAAACCAATCATTTATTTCCTGTAACCGAAATACCATCATTTATTTCAGTAAGAAGTACTTTATATAGAACCCGGAAAAAATTCTTGGGCACAAATTCGCTAGTTTTCAATAGAGTTGAAGATGTGATAGTTCCGAAGGGACTGCCTAAAAATATCACGGTTTATGAAGATGGAGATCAAGAAAAAAATTATCGTACTTTGTTCTCAGACAGCCATAACAGCAATGAAATCGTCAGAACTGTGTAGTTACATAGGTGATGGTACATTCAAAGTTTCTCCACGCCCTTTTTATCAACTTTACATAATCCATCTAGACGTATTTTCAGACGAAACCACAGTTAATGTATTTCCTGTTATATATGCATTTCTTCCAAATAAAACAGAAAAAACCTATACAAGATTATTCAATTTGATAAAAGAGAAGCTGCCTGTGGTAATAAAAACATTTAAATGTGATTACGAAACGGCTCAAATTAATGCTGTCAAAGCAATATTTCCAGATGTTCATTTATCCGGGTGTTTCCAGCACTTTAATCAAGCCGTCTGGAAAAAAGCAAAAGAATGCAAAATTGCAAGAGTGACAAGACCTACAAGTAGCGACAGAAAAGCAAGAAGCATCGTTAGAATGTGCTCCTATTTTGTTTTAATTCCTCCCACTTTCATGAAACAAGCCTGGAAAAGTATTCAACAGGCTGCACCATCTACGCTAAAAATGAAGTCTTTTTTAAAATACTTCCAAGCCCAATGATATGACAAAGATCATAATATGATAAGTTGTGCAGGAGACACACATAGGACCACAAATAATTGCGAGGGGTACCATCGGCGAATTAATGCGAGATTACCACGAAACCCTAACTTGTACCTCGTATTCCGTACACTTTTAAAAGAAATGAAGCATTACGATATAAAGATCGAAAGGTATTTGTTATTTGCACCATTCAAAAAAAATAGGCGGACGAAAGATATTTTGTTTGACATTAAGTATGCATCTTTATTAAAACAACTGAAAAGAAGAGTAATTTCACCAAAAATGTTTCTAATGAAAATCCATTTAACCAGATTAAAACTTGGTTTCTAACTTATTTTTTTAATTATACCTTATTTTAAGTGGAAGAAAGTTGATTTTGTATTTTAGTTAAGTTTAGTTCAATAAAACAGCGTACCTTATTTTAAGTGGAAGAAAGTTGATTTTGTATTTTAGTTAAGTTAATAAAACAGCGTACGCCAACTACTAATTTGTTTATCTGTCAAAATTGCCCTTACCTTATAATGTTATTCGATTCATATAGGTATTCCATAGGTGGGATGTAGGTAATCTAAAAAACAGTTCAATAATTTAAAGGATTCAACTTTATGGGATTCAACATTATACAAATTCAACTTTTTGGGAAATCATAATTCAACATGTTGGGAAGTCAACTTTGTAGGATTCAATATTACACAAGTTCAACTTTTTGAGATTTCAACTTTATGCGAATTCAACTTGATGGTCCGAAAGGGCGGCGGATTCGTTGCGCGTCCGCGACGTTTTCGCTGCGCGGCCGCTCCGCCCCGAAGCCGTTCGCAAACCGCTAGTATGATAAGGCCCTTAAATTGGTTAGTAGCAGACTGGCAGACAAATATTTTTGAAAGCTCTGGGATTTTTTGCTTTACCAATCACTAACAAATACAATTTGTGCGTTCCTGGTCCGTTGTCCAAAATGTGATTCTATTTTTACTCACTTTACGACCTGGTGCACTTGATTCTTTAGAAGCTACGAATGTTTTACTGGGCAACAGTCTCCAGAACAGACCACTCTCGTCTGCATTATAGGTTTGGTCAGGAAGAAGACCCAGTTCTTCTACTTTGTTTTTAAAATGCTGGATAAATGGCTGTACTTCAGATTCGTCGCTTGATAATTTCTCACCATATATGGTTAATAAAGGGATACCAATACTCTTCTTAAATTTATTCAGCCATCCATCGCTGACACGAAAATCATCCTTTTGGGTAAGTTTTTTTTATAAAATTCGATTGCTTTGACTTTAAGGATTTCTCCAGATATAGGAGTGTGTTTAGAACGGCGTCGCAAGAACCATATGTAGACAGCGTTTTTCATCTTTGGACAATCGCCAACTTTTAGTGTTTTACGCTTTCCTGACCCAGATTCCATCGTCTTCAAGTGGTCTACTATCTTTTGCTTCTTTTTTTACGCCCAACACCATATTATTTTGCCAATTTGCACATGTTTTATTCACTATCTAACTTCTTTAAAATCTCCATTTTATTTTTCTTATATGACATTATAAACTACACACTATTCTCACTTCAAAAAACAGTTAAATACGCACGCATGTAAGTTTTGAGGTTAGACTGCTAGACGACAACGCAGCGACTGGAGCGCATACGCGTAGAAGGAGGTGTGGGCGGAGGGTACCGGATAATTGGATGTGTCGATCTATTGAAGTGCCGGATTACTGAGATTATACTCTAATCAACTATCCCGACTTCGGATCGGTAAAGATTTTATTTTGCCAACCAATGTTTCAATCGTGGCGATTGGCGCAGTTTTATCACAGGGGACAGTCGGTTCAAACAAACTCATTGCATATGATTCTCGTACACTTAACTCCAGCGAAAGTAAATATAGCACGATGGAAAAGGATCTTTTATCTATCGTATGGAGGACTAAGTATTTCCGGCCCATTTAATCGTCCGAAAATTCAAAATTATTACAGATCATAAACCTTTACAATGGATTATGAATTTAAGAGCCCAATTCGCGGCTCACAAGATAGCGTCTTAAATTGAGCGAATATGACATTAGTGTCGTATATAAGCAGGGCAAGCGTAACACAAATGCCGACGCACTATCGCGTATGAACTTCACAATGATGAGCTAAGACCCATAATAGATGAATTGATTTCCATTTTATCTAAACCTTCCGAAGCGGTACATACTTTAGATGACTCTAGATCTATAACGGCTACCGAAGTCACAGACGATTCTTGAACCATTACCGTTATACAGGTAAAAAAACCCATCCTTAAGGTTCCCATTTCTGACGAACCGCTAAATAAATTCACTAAGCAGATAATCTTAAATATAGTAGGCGACATAAAAGCTTGACCAGTTGTCCCTAAACCATTCAAATGGTTGAGCTATTTATTTTTTATTTAAAACATTGAATTGTTTAAAAAAAAGAAATTATGGAAAAACTTAAAACCATTTTGAATAATGTGGAGTAATATGGTCAACTAAAATTAGGAGCTTTCTTGGTTACTGCACACTGGATAAGATATCACTTACACTTTTTACATACTTTTAACTTCACCAAGTGCATTCCGTATTCAAGACTAAAGAAAATTTTGATTTAATGAGAATTTATCGCACAATACATTCAATTTCTATAAAAATTGGAGTACTTATTAAAAATTACTTTCAATTTCAGACCAATACAACTTCACTGGAATGTATGAGTTGTGTAGGGTAGGGCGGGGCTTAAAGGTCCACCATAAGTATCTAAAAAACTAGCGGTATATCGTGCGTTCTAACTATGTACGCGGAATGAAGAGAGTGCGGGAGGCGTAACGGGGGCCGGCAGTCGAGCAGCGTCGCTAGCCGGAGATATACGACTACATCTAAAAATTTTAACGTAAGGTGAGTTGGGGTAAGACTGCCACCGGCGTAAGACTATCAATTTTAAATATCGCGCTATGTACGGCTCTGTTTCCGGTTGCACTATGTCGGTAAAACAGTTTGATTGTTAGCCTTCCCAACTTCACATATAGATGTCGCCATTGGTAGTCAATATCGCTAACACAACGAAACTAAAATTTCAGTTCCGCAAAAAAATATTCGTGTCCGGTCGGCTTCTTTTGTTTATCAATTTTTTTGTGTCGATACGTGGTTTATTGGAACAGTCTAAACGTAAGTAGTATGAAATCAATGTTTACTTTGAAGGTTATATATCAAAAGAGCTTAAAACAACATATATCTATAAAATTTAACAAAGTTAAAACATAACCTAGAAAAATCCAAAGTGGGGCAAGACTATCACTTTGGTTGGGGTAAGTCAGTCAGTCAGTTAGTCTTACCCTATGTCAGATATCATAAACATTTTTACTGGTTTTTTTATATCCGAAACTAATATAAGAGATTAATGTGTAGGTATTAATATTAATGTAAATTTATCACACTAATATTATAAATGTGAAAGTTTGTCTGTCTGTTTGTTACTTCTTAACACCTTCACCGCCAAGCCCAATCTCTTAAAATTTCATTTTTTTAATAATGTATTTTTTACTTAAATATGCATTTTTTTATATTTTTTACCGTTATATTTTATCCAGCTGTCACCCCTTTCATTTTTCAGGATTTCAGGAATGTGTATCAAAAATGATACACTGGCCTATGAAAGACATTTCTCTGTTAACCAATCTCATGGGCCATGTGTATCATTTTGGATACATGGTATGTTTTAGTTTATTTGATTATTTTATATTCGTTTTAGATCAAACACGAAGAAATCACAAAGAAGAAGCTTTAGAAAAACAACGACTGTTGTGTTTTTCTATAACTCCTTTTTTGTTTTGTTATAGGATATTCTATAAAACGTAAATAACGTGAGTGAGAAAAGTGAATCAAAATGGACTACGAAAGTGACGACTCTGTACGATCCGGATTATTATCCAAGTGACGGTAATGCGACGGCTAGTTCGGAGAGTGACAGTGCTAACGAAAGTTGGAATCCACCTTCATCTTTTAGGCGAGCATCGACCTTCACAGAGAGTGACCTGGCCCCTTTACCTGAAGTTCAGAGGAGGATTTCTGCAAGAAGAATATGTAATACAGATTTGGACGCTTATAATATGCCAAGTACATCACCTGCAACTACTCTTACTACTGGTAATAATGAGCCAAGTCTCTCTGGTACAACATCCGAGTGGCTAAAACAAAAACTCGACTCAATAGAGTGGCACATGCCTACTCAAGAAGGTCCAACGCCCATGGAATATACCGGGCCTATTTCAGGCCTCAAAGAAATATACTCAGGCATTCTTGCTAATGCTTCGCCAATAGACTATTTCGATTTGTTCATGACTAACGACATTATTCAGCATATTGTAGACCAAACGAATTAATACGCCACGCAGCAACTACTGTCAAATGATATTCCTTCAGATTCTAGGCAACATGCCTGGGTTCCTGTTACCTTGGATGAAATGAAAAAATTTCTCGCACTCATTGGTTGAATGGGATTTGTGAAGCTGCCATCGATAAAAGACTACTGGCGTGTTCATAAGCTCTACAATATTCCATTAGCATGAATTGTAATGCCTAGGAAGAGATTCGAGTTGATTCTCAAATTTATTTACTTCTCAGATAATACGTTAGCTGACCCAAATGACCGGCTTTACAAGTTGAGAGATATACTTGACAAGTTTATAAAGAACTACAAGAAAACATACACACCAGGAGAAAAAAATATGTGTCGACACATCGCTGATACCCTGGCGCGGACGACTTTTGTTTAGGCAATATATACCCAATAAGAGTGCAAAATACGGTATCAAAGTATTCAAGCTATGTACCGAAAAAGGATATACTTGGAACTTGTCTGTTTACTGTGGCAAATATAGAGACCCGCAAACTGAAGTCTCAGAAAAAACAGTTACGTCTTTGGCAGAAGAACTCTTAGATGAAGGAAGAACATTGTACACAGACCATTATTATACCGGTGTTCCTCTCGCCTTACGTTTGCGTAATAGAAAAACCCATCTAGTAGGAACTCTAAGGGCTAATAGAAATATTTACCAAAAGAAGTGGTACAGGCCAAATTGAAGAGAGGAGAAATGGCTGCAAAGCAGAGCAATGAAGGCATAGTTGTTTTGAACTGGCGTGATAAACGCGACGTACGGATGCTTACCACGAAAACGTCTGCTCTTCTAAATGGTGCCAAATAATAGCAGAAATACGAACGCAATGCACACTAAACCAAAATGTATAGCTGACTACAATAAAGGTAAATCTTCTATGGATATTAGCGACCAAATGGCCACGTATGGTACAGCCTTACGACGCTGCACCAAATGGTACCGCAAATTAGCATTTGAAATAATTTGGGGAACAAGTGTAGTAAATGCCCATTTCCTGTACAACGAATATTCACTTCAAAAGAAACTCACAATCACGGAATTTCGTGAACAAGTGATCGATGCGTTGCTGGAAAGAATTTCTTCAACGAATGTTGACAGACCTTCACGATCGAGACCAGATGACAAGCATTATTTGGTCCAAAACATTGTAAACGATAAGAAAGTTCGAGGTTGCTATAAAATTTATGGGAGGACAGGAGTTGCAGGAAAAAAATAAAAAAGCACCCCAAATATACACAAAATGTTCAGTGTGTAATTTTTTTTATGTCGTCAATGTTTCAACAAAACTCATTAGCAATTAATCTTATTTTGTGTTTTTCTTTGTAGTTGTTTCCTTAATATAATTATGTAGAAACTAATTCATGACTCTTTTTTTCACCTTAAATTTTCCAGTACCAATATTTTTTAGCATATGTCTCATAACCCAATCCCAAATATAGCAAACCAATCGTCCAGGCCAGAGGATGTTATTTTTAGTACAAAATCTATGAAAAGCGTGTTCATTATTGGTATACAACGCTTTGAACGCAATAGGTCGTGTGTATCATTTTTGATACACTATGTTCTAACAAGCGTGTGCAAAAATGATACACTGGCGTTGAGGGTGTTAACTAAAAAAATACTGGACCGATTTGCGTGAAATTTGGTACACAGGTAGAGGGATCAACTAGTTAAATATATTAATGCAAATGTGTATTCTTCGCCTAATCCAAACATACTTTACAGGGTCAAGCAAGATGGTGCGAAATTATGTTCGCAAAACAGACAGAGGGACATATCCAAAAGAAAAATTGCTAGAAGCCGTAGAAAGAGTCAAGAACGGAGATTTATCAGCTTATAGAGCCTCTATAGAATATGGGATTCCACGAGCTACAATAGTAGCAAGAGTGTACGACCGATATGGTCTAAAATCAAATTCTTTGGGGAGAGGTACATTTCTCCCTGAAGCGATAGAAGAAAAATTGGCAAAACACTTACACGTAATGGAGAAATATGGGTTTGGCCTCACAAGAGTTGAAATCATGGAACTGGTCGGACACTACATCGCCAAGAATCAAATCGATAATCCTTTTTAAAATGGAATCCCGGGAGCAGACTGGTTTAAATCTTTTAAGAATCGACATAATTTATCGATTAAAAAACCACAGTCAGTTGAAAACTCGCGGAAAAAAGCCTGCAACCCCTGGATTATCTACACTTATTCTGACTTATTAAGGAAAACCATGGATGAGCTGGGATTACATGATAAACCATCACAAATCTGGAATCTAGATGAAACAAGTTTTAGCAAAGACCCCAGTAAAACCAAAGTGGTAGGCCTGAGAGGTTTTGCATCAACGAGAACGATATCATCACCCGGCAAAGACAATACAACACTTTTGCTTGGATGCAGTGCAGCCGGTGACAAAACACCTCCACTTATTATATTTAAAGGAAAAAATGTGTGGGATGAGGACATCCGAAGAGGACTATCCAGGCACAGTGTATGCCGCCACGAAAAACGGTTGGATGGAGACGGAAATCTTTGAAACACATTTTGATAAGGTGTTTTTGCCAACCGTAGGAGAAAAACGACCAATTTTACTAGTGTACGATGGCCATTCTACACACGTCGGGCTCAACATAATTGAAAAAGCTCGTGAAGCAGGAATCACCATTCTGAAGTTACCACCGCACACTAGCGATAATCTACAGCCATTAGACCTTGCGGTCAATAAATCTTTTAAAGATAAATGGGATTTGGCTTTGGTAAAATGGCAGAGACTGCAGGTGGGGCAAATGTTACCAAAAAAAGATTTTTCAAAGTTGATTGGCCACGTTTGGGCACAAGTTGATCCCTCAGTGTGCGCAGCTGGGTTCAGGAAAGCTGGTATATTCCCTTTTAATAACGATGCTGTATCTGAACACAAATTTCACCCAGATCAGCTCGCGGAATGGAGAAAACAAACACTAGAAAGATGTACTGAGGTGATTGAGACATCTATAGCACCTGATATTCCGAAACATCGCGATAATCAACAACTTCATGGCCCTTCGTGCTCCAAAGACCAGATGAATCATTAACACCAAGCTGAGCTTAGTTCCGAAAATAACGTGAACATTGTAAAAGTCTCTTCATTAATTGCTTCTTGTTTAAATTATTGGAATCGTCAAACCAAAGAACCTACCGAACTTAACGAACATCAGCAGAATCATAATAAGCTACAATCTATTAAGTGCAAATACGGAGCAAAAAATTTAAAAATTGTGCCGCTCAATTATAACAAACATCTGCATGCAAAAAGTCAAATCAATTCTATAAAACGAACATCACCGGTAAAAATAACTGTTCAAGATGATCGTCCAGTACAATGTGATACTACATTTGAGGAACTGTTACTCCAAAAAATTAAAGCAGACTCCAGTACAACAAAAAAACGCACAAAAGTGGCCGATGGCGCTGAACTTATTACAAGTGAAGATGTTTACATAAAGCAAAAAAAAATGAAGAAGAAAAACAAATTAAACTAAAGCAAAAAGAAGAAAAACAGACAAAAAAGCTAAATAAAATTAAAATAAACAAAGAGAAAAACGAGGGGAATAAAAATACAAAACAGTTTCAAGACATAAAAAGGAAAAAAGTAACAAAACCAAAGGAATCTGATCAGAAAACAAAAAACTGAAAATTGATGAGTTTACAAGTGAAAGTGATATGGAAATAGAATTGATGGATGAGAGTGATTTAGAAAATTACGATTTAAATAATATATTAGACAACGATGAGGAAAATGATGACATAATAGCAGAAGTTGAAAAGGCAGATTGCATTGAATATGATGATCCGTTGACAAGTACTGTTGTCAAAGGACAATGGGTCTTGGTCAAGTTTGCCTTAAAAACTAGTGTTAAACACTATGTTGGGGTGGTTACAGAATTAAATTGTGAAGGAAAACCAACAATCAATTATGTCAGAAAAAGTAGACACAGAGGGAGCGAGGACAAAACTATGTTTGTTTTCCCACAAGTACCTGACATATGCGAGCTCAGACATCTAGAAGATATTGTATGTAAACTACCAGATCCAATGACAGGTCGAAGAGGACAAATATTTTTCAAAATTACCTTTCATGGCTATAACGTTCAGTAGCTTTACTTTTACAGGGTGTAACGGTTGGTTGAAATAATCTTTTACAGGGTGACTCAGCCCATGATACTGATAGGTACTCCAAGGTAGGTCAAATAGCTAAGAAAATATAACAAAACAAAACTATATTCAAGTAAACTATGTTAGTCTTACCCCAACTCACCTTAAGTAAATTTTTTCATCATTTTACTTTTTAGTTTCGAGCAGTGGTTTTTCGTTTATCACACCTAAACATAATTTATTAGTATAAGTGATTTATTTGTTTTTCACGATTTATTATTAGTTTTAGGCTCGGTTTAACGGTTATTTCGTTATAACCTCTAAAAATATTTACACGTGGTTGGGGCAAAAAGGTCCAATGTGGACCTTTTAGCCCCTCATTAATATGTGGGTTAATAAAGACTTTTTTGTTTCAGTATGCGCAACTATAAAAGAAAATCGGATCGTGGTACTAAATCTGTTGAGTTGATACAACGGGCAGCAGATTTAGTTATCAATGAAAATAAATCATTGACGCAGGTATGTCGTGACTATGAATTAATTAAAACTTCATTGTCAAGATTTATTAAGCGAATGAAGAATGACCCTGTTAACTTGAGATTTGGCTATGGTTCTCCACGGCAGATATTTAATAAAGAACAAGAAATCCAGTCTCACAGAATACTTGCTCAAACTTGCACAAATTTTTCACGGCATAGGTCCTAAAGAAGTTCGTCGCATGGCTTATGACTGTTAAATATAAAATAAGTGTACCGTCAACATGGCATACAAATAGAATGGCCGGTAGAGATTGGATGTCTGCCTTTCTCAAACGTAATACAAGTCTTTCCATAAGAAAACCTGAAGCGACTAGCCTCAGCAGAGCTACGTCTTTCAATAAGTCTAAGTGCAAGAGTTTTACACTAAATTAGCTGACGTTGTGGATCGATTCAAATTTACAGCTTCTTCCATATGGAATGCGGATGAAACTGGTGTATCCACCGTCACCAAACCATCAAAAATAGTTGCTGCTAAAGGAAAGCGAAATGTTGGATCAATAACATCCGGTGAACGTGGAACTAATGTAACCCTGTTAGTAGCGATTTCTGCTACAGGTTCATCAGTTCCACCTATGTTCATCTTCCCTCGCAAAAAGTTTCAAGATCATTTCATTCGGGACGGTCCTACTGATTGCATTGGTGCTGGGAATTCTAGCGGTTGGATCACTAATGACGAGTTTTTCCTATTTATGCAGCATTTTATCAAGCGCGTTAGACCTTCTAAAGAATTTCCTATTCTGTTGGTTTTAGACAACCGTTCTTCGCACTTATCTGTACCAACACTAGATTTAGCTAAAGAAAATGGAGTGGTTATGCTCTCTTTCCCTCCACACTGTTCTCACAAATTACAGCCACTTGACGTGTCGGTATATGGCCCTTTTAAAAGATATCTGTCTTCAGCTCAAGATGCTTGGATGCGGAATAAGGCTGGAAAAACCATGACCATATACGATATCCCTGGGATCGTCCGCACTTCTTTACCTTTAGCTTTGACACCGAGTAACATAATGAGTGGATTCGAAAAAACTGGCATATTTCCCTTCAACCAACATAAATTTAATGACGCTGATTTTGCATCTAGTTACGTAACGGACCGTCCTATGGAAACTGTTAGTAATGAGCCACAGCCTTCGACATCGTCCACTCCTCCGCCAACAATATTGTCTAATCCACAACCTTCAAGACCGTTAGATTCGCAGCCATCAACATCATATGATGCACAGATATCAATATCAGTTGATCCACACGAATGTTTTTCCCCCGAAATCGTGCGACCACTACCTAAAGCCGGACCACGAAAGTACACTATTAATAGGAAGCGCCGAAAAACTGCTATTTTGACGGACACACCAGAAAAAGAAAATCTACGTAAAGAATAAGAAACCTTGAGTAAGAAAAAGGCTACAGGCGTAAACAAGAAAAGCAAAGCAACTAAAAGAGTTGAGAAAGTAAAAAAAGCTATTTTACAAAAGGTTAATAGTGATTCCAGCTCTGAGATGAATGCTTCTGTTTGATTTGCTGCGAGAAGTACAGTGACAGTGTTCCAGGCGAAGGTTGGATTCAATGCAATCTTTGCAAACAATGGGCCCATGAAAAATGTATCTCAAACAGAGGTAGCATTTACTTTGTTTGTATTAACACATACAGTGCCAAAACACGGCGCCGTGAAGGTGTGCGGGGGCCGGCTACACGGCGCCATGGCTCGCGCCCGTACATTTTGCTTGCGGTAGTATTCCGCCGCTCTTGCGAAACGCACACGTTTTTTAGTTAGCCATACGCTCGAATTCAAGAACTTGCGAAAACCGTTTTCGGATTTTTATTTGTGTGACCGGTTCTTATTATATGAGCCTTTGAAAATATATAATTTTCGCGCCAAAATGAGCGATAAGCCCGGGCCTTCAAAGCGGTCTAGTAAAACAAGTATACTGACTTCTCGTGCTAAAAACGCCGCACAATTTTTTTTCCTGATGAAAGTGATTGCTCTAGTGAGGAAGAAGTTTTCTCGCAGTGTAGTGATGGGGATAAGAAATGGGAAGAGGAAGAAGAGACGGAATCCAGTGATGAGAGCATTTTTGATTCGAGCAAGTCTTGCAAAAATAGACTTGCAGTGAGCCGTGAACCTTTAGAACTGCCACATAAATTACCCCTAAAAAATCAGGCGGATAGCAATGAAGTGATGCCTTCCCGTCAAATATCGACAGAAAAGGATAACCCTAACTCGCCGGATGTGATACAAGATTATGGCATGTATCCTGACATTGCTGACAATTTATTGGTAGACGTTGATACAACACCATCTGTATCGTTACTAAGGTCATCGGCTCCCACTCCAAACTTGTCAATTCAGGAAATCCCCACACTTCGTAATGAAAACGTTGCCAGTTCCCCTTCTAATGAACTACAGACATGAATAATTTTATCAAATATTCTCGTGTTAGCGGGGTTCACTATTCTTGTTATGGAATATGTCGAGAAAGCCCAAAATCGGCTTAAGTCATAAAATATTGCCTTCGACATCAGTTAATATATCCCTGTACCACAAGATGGAACTCTCTTCCCGATTATATAGTACAGCTTATGAGAAGTAAATTAAAATTAAATGACTAATTTTATAAGTTAACTAAGACCAATTCTTTCTCGGCCAATACTTGGACGATTTTATTGAAGTATTGAAAACCAATTGCTACAGCTTTAGATTACATTACTAATCAATAGGCTGGGCTGGATTAGTTCTCTTCTATTTACATAACCTATCACCTATTTTGTATTTTATATATTAAATACACGACTTAAAAATATTTTGTATTTCGTATTTTAAACATGTGTGATAGATAGTATTTTGTAATATGTATTCAAAATAATGCAATTTTGATAAATGCAGAGCATGGATTTTACCCAGCTCTGGGAATGCACATGATGACTTATTACCTGTACTTTCTATTAAGAAGTAAAAATGACGAGTTTTATCTCTGGGCTGATTTTATTGTGAGGAAAGTAATTGTGAATAGCTTTAGTACTAATTAATAAACTGTTCAAAATCTTTAAATGATTTTGTATTAATGTATTACAAAAATACGTGATAATTTCATAGGGTAACTAGCATTTAGGTAGTTGTAAGTTGTTGGTAGACTAAACTCTCGCAAATATAAATATCGATATTATACACGGAACATCTCTCTTTGTTGCAGGTATTTATTTTTGATTGCCTATGCCAGGCGCTGGGGACTCGACATCTGATATGAAGTCTGACGGTTAAAGTGCTAATAGTTTACTTTTCCCTTTTACTTAAGGCTACTGCAGTCTCCTTTGTTTTTAATAAACAATTTTACTTAACTGCTACTTCAAATAAGTTTGTTTTAAACACTATATACACTTATTCACAGTTATTTCTGTTTTACCATAAAAATAAAGGAGATTGTTTTCAAGTTTCAATTATTTAATACTTTAGAAGAAACAGACCAGTAAAAAGCGTTGTTTCTAAAAAAAATAACAACTGGTTATCTATACTATTACTAGCTTGCCAGGCAGACGTTGTCATGTCCTATTAAGTATATTATTAAATTCGCAAAAAAATTTGTGGGTCACTCACGGGCAAAACTATCCTATCTCTCAAGTTGGACCAAACTGCACACGGTGTGCAAACTTGGTTAAAATCGGTTAAGTAGTAGGAGTTCATCGCGGACAAACAACATGACACGTAATTTATATATATTTTTTTTTTTTTTTATTTAATATATATATGTGTGTGTGTGTGTGTGTGCGGCTTTTAAATACTTTTCATTACGATTAATTTTCCACAGCGGGGCACAGACATCTCTTTTACACTCATAATATACATTTATCTTTTATATTTCTATGAGTAAGTGGTAGAGTAAAGATGATCCCAATGAGAGGGGCACTGCAGGAAGTACTTGCGCGCGGCCGCACAGAAGCGCCGCTTGTACTGCTCCGGCGACAGCACCGTGGGTTGTCCTGAACCCAGGTTCTTCTTCACCAGGTGCTCCAGTTTCTTATCCCACGTGAACGTTCTAATGTAGTCTGCAGGAGAAATTTATTGTCAACGGGGTCATCATCGTTTCGTAAACAGTCAATTGAAGTACTTTTAAAACTGTCAAAATAAACATTTCTACAGAAATTGTGTGAATATCGTTCATTGATGTTATAGCAAGCCTCTGTCACTCTTGCTACCTGCGTGATGTAAATATCTATAATCGCGCAGAACCTCAGGTTATATACGCAGTCAAGGTTAGCGCGTTCTTGACAATCGACGTACTAGTAAATTTCAAAGTTTTATTTTTATGAAAAAATATAGTTCATACCACACTATTAAATAAACTACGTCGGCTTCGCCGGTCGATGTTAATACTTAGCACACCGGGTAGGTGGCACTGTTACAGAATTTGGGAAAAAAAAATTTTATTTTTTTTAAAAGGTATGTGGGGCAATGAATGATAAAATGGATGAAGTATGTGATATGATGTACATATGATAGAGGAATAAATGTGTTATGTGTAAATGAGACGAAAAGGAAGGGGAAGGATGTCACTACACATGGCATGTATATCGCATACTGGTCTGGTGTGGACGAGATCGAGCGGGCATGCCAGGGAGTAGGTATCATCCTTTCAGAAAGAATGGGCCAATGTGTGAAAGAGTATGAATGTGTAAGCTCAAGACTACTATGGATACGAATGAAAGTGGGCTTAAAGAAGTTGTTTGTGTTAGGGATCTACGCCCCAGACATGTCTAAGCCCACTTATATCCGAGAGCAGTTTTGGGAAATGGTAAGGATGGTGTTAATGAAGTGTAAGGGAAATGAAAATATTATTATGCTAGGAGATTTTAATGGAAAGGTGTGATGAAAGTATAAATGAGAATGGTGAAAGTCTTCTCACCGTATGTATGGAAAAGAATCTTTTTGTGACGAACACTTGCTTTCGCCACAAGAGGATTCACATACAGAATGGGTCCCACAAATATGCAATAAATGAAACCATATACTTGTTATCGCCTTTGCTGACGATATACAAAAAATGAACGTAATCGGTCCAGTAATTAGGTCAAAAAGTAGAGTTTTAATTTTAAGCAAATTTGAACACTCTATAGAATTGGGTCACTAAGTCAATGATTCAATGAACTTGAATCCTTGAACATTAAAAAGCGACGTTGCCACGCAGTGCAAACTATTGGTATTGCGACATATCGACAGCGGTGTCTTTTGTCGACCTGACACCCGCGTGCAACGTTGTCACTCTTTCAAGGGGTCAAGGTTCGTTGTCTAAACAGAGTGTTCACTTTTACTGAATTTATTTTAATATTTATTTTGTTTGAAAATTTCACTTTTTTATTTTACGGGTTTTAATTTAATATTTAATTTTTCTACACTTCTACGGACTAGTATTACTTGTGGTTTCATTTATTGCATATATGTGGGACCCATTCTGTATATACTTGGGAAAGAGGTGACGATAGAAGCATGATAGATTTAATAATTGTGGATGAAAGATTGAGGGGCGCAGTGGTGGATACAAGGGTTTACCGGGGTTCTAACGTAGGAACGGATCATTATTTGTTTTTATGCCGAATTAATGGTCTATTCAGGCGTTGGCGCTATCGATCATCTGTGTCAACCACTGCGTTACAGCGTATTAGAACAGAAAGGTTACAAGATGAAGGTGAAAAAAACAAGTTCAAATGTAGACTGAAAGAAAATATTCAGTTTTTGAAACTACGAGTAAATAAGGCCAGAAGCCTTTGTTTTGGAAATTATCCCTAATTGGATGTGATTTATGGCCAACGCGACGCGTACGTACGCTCTTTTGTATGTGTGCGTAGTAAAATAGTAGGCGTTAGATATTTATGAATGACACTACACATAGTCAATTTTGAAAAATCATATTCCAATTTACTGTTTTATATAAGGGCAGTCTTGCAAATGAAATTTGCAGACTTGAAAGAAGTCTGCAGACTATTGAAAGAATATTTCCAATTTTCTTCAAGACTGGTTCAAAATCCAATTCCATATTAGCATCTCGTATTCCATGTCGGAAACTGAGTCTAAGAATGACGAACTTTATTTCTTCGAGGGTTAGAAGTTTCGTTAGTCAAACGTCATTTGCATAATGTACCCAGCTCTTAGTGGACAATACAAGGAATAGAATATCTAAACCGGGTGGTTTACGTACCTATGATGCCAAGGACGAGAGTGTTGCAGTGCAGGCCCAATAGCAAGGAATAGTCCATGACGCCGTTGTCAACCAGAAATTGGGTGTCGCGTTCCAGACACGCCCATAGAAGACTAGCCGTGTGCGACTGAACGTACAGTTGTGTCTCCCACCGCACTGCAAACATTTAAAAGATAAAACAGTAAATTAAGAAGTAAGATTAAACTTTAAGTTGTGTTTAAACAGACTCACTACTCTCTTTAATGTGAGTAAAAAAATTTAAATTAATCCAATTTTGAAGGAAGCAACAGAGAAATAAGGAATGATAGTTTTAACAATTCTTTTAGATATAATTAGTCTTATTAGTTGCAGTTGTCTCTCTTAGTTGTTTTTCGTCACAACCTAAAGCAAATACAATTGACAGTTAAAAAATAATCCCTTAAATTTTTTGTAGCCCGGATACCACGAGTACCAAACTCCCTCCATTATAGAAGAGCTTAATGTCTATTGCTGTTATGTGCTATCGAAGCAGTTGGCGAGATCATTGTAAGGCACTAGTGCTGTAAAAAAGCCCCTCACCCCATTTTGTATTATAGGTACGTAAGATGAATATGGTCCCAGTCAGGTTTATTCGCCAAAATAAGCTTTGTTAATTATATTAACTATTTTATTAAACTTACTAACTAATAACACAAGTACGCAAGAAAAACAACGCAATAAAAACTTTAATACATTATCATTTGAGGAACGTGTGAGGCGCGAGGGCGCTTATACATACAAATCTAAAGTATATAAGTAAAGTTTATAAGTACTCAAGTTGTTTGCCGATTGTGATAATTGAAAGAAAAGGATAGCTTACGGTGCAGGAGATCTAGGCGGCAGACTGGTGCGCGGCCTCTATTAGTATACATACTAGTGTTTGGAGTGGATGAAGGTGAATAAAACAAGAGGAAGTTTAGCTCACGGTGCAGTAGGTCCAGGTCGTCTTGCACGGCGGCAGGCTGGTTGCCGGCAGCGGGCAGGCGCGGGCGCGCGGTGCCCTTCAGGTCGAAGCGCGCGCCCGCCGCGCCGTACCACACGTTCTCCATCACCAGTACGCCGCTGTTGCTGCCGCCCACGCTGAACACGCCCAGGATCCGGGCTAACGTGCACACATTACAGCGCGACATATATACAACATCGTCTGAACCACTTTGATACATTTTATGAACGTGCACAAGTTACAGGCGGTTCATAGCAAATTGCG